GAGCTGGAGTGCAATGGCATGATCTTGGCTCACTGCAACCTCCACCTCCCAGGTTCAAATGATTCTCCTGCCTTAACCTCCCAAATAGCTAGGGATTACAGGTGCCCGCTACTATACCCAGCTAATTTTTTTTTTTTTTTTTTTTTTTGTATTTTTAGTAGAGATGGAGTTTTATCATGTTGGCCAGGCTGGTCTTGAACTCCCGACCTCATGAATCATCCGCCTCGGCCTCCCAAAATGCTGGGATTACAGGCATGAGCCACTGAGAGTGGCCTTCTAAAAAAACCTTTTAGTCTTTGCAGGCCATGTGGTCACTATGGCAACTGCTCAACTCTGATCGAGAAAGCAGCCGGGGTCCGTGTAAACAAAGGACCGTGGCTTCTTCCAGTGAAACTTTACTTATCAAACAGGCAGCAGGCTGCAGCACGCCAACCCTGCTAACACCCTGCTGCCTTTCTGAGTTTCCAGAAAGGTGAGGTCAGAGCCTGAAGGGCCTTCTGGAAGTAGTGTCAGTGGAGAGCTGGACCATGTGAGGTTCAAGCAGGGCAGGTGATATGAATGAGGTCCCGGGCTGGCTGTCGTGAATGCATTCACTTGAGGAGTGGCAAGGCCTGGGGGAATGACCAAGAGGGTTGAGATTCCCTCTCTCAGCTGGAAGGACTCACCCCCCACCATATCTCCACCCCAATTTGCGGCTGCTTCTGTACTACCAAACACCATCACCATGGGTCCTGCCCAGCTCCTAGGGACTGAAGTCATAGCCTGCAGAAAACCACATGTCCACCAGAAGAGGGGCCCCTGGGCCGGATAAAAGGGATTTTGACTTATCATAAAGAACACGTCAGGCCAGGTGTGGTGGCTCACACCTGTAATCCCAGAACTTTGGGAGGCCAAGGCAGGAGGATCACTTGAGTCCAGGAGTTCAAGACCACCCTGGGCAATATAGTGGGACCCTCCATCTCTACAAAAAAAAAAAAATTAGCTGGGCATGGTGGCACATGCCTGTAGTCCCAGCTAACTCAGGAGGCTGAGGCAGGAAGATCACTTGAGCCTGGGAGCTCAAGGCTGTGGCGAGCTGAGGTCACACCACTGCACTCCAGGCCGGGCAACAGAGTGAAACCCTATCCCAGAAAAACATAAAGAACAAACAGATATACTGAGCTCTCACCATGTGCCACACCCTGTGCTGGGGCTTGACAAAAGTTACCTCATTTTATCCCCACAACAGTGGGGTCATCAGAGCAGGTAATATACCTCCTGGATGTAGCTGTTAGAGACTCAAGAGAAACACGATAGCTATCCATGTGTCTGGTGCGTCCTTGCAGGAAGCAGGGTTGCGCCCAGGTCTGAGTATCTCCAAGATGAGGGGCTCGTCCATCCCCACTGTGTCGGTTTACCACAGAAAGGTGCAGCAGACCCCACCTCCAGGTCCCAGAGTTGCTGAGGACCATTTGAGACCGTCATCACTAGCTCTTCACCAGAGCTTTCGTTGTTCCTGAACCTGGCTCTCCTAGAACCTGAAGGGCAGAGCAGATTCTCTGTAAAGAAGGTCCAGGGCACTCCCCTCCTGCCCGGACGTGACTTCAGGGCGTGAGTCAGGTGCCCTTCCTTGGGCACCATCAGCAGAGACCGCGAGACTCTACCATGAGGGCATGTAGCATTCCTGGGTGAATTTGCCACGAGAGGCTGCATGTCCCTCTTCAAGGACACAGCTGGCGAGCTGCCGAGCCAGCATCAGACACTTGGATTGACGACTCGTGGCCCCACTCTCAGCTCTGTGGCTGGTTATACTCTTTTCCTTGAATACCTTCCAAATGTGACTGGGTCAGACCCACGGCCAGCGAGGTCAGCCTGTTCCAGCAAACAGAGCAAGGGACTGGGGTTGGGTTGCTCAGCGGAAGCGTGACATTGAGGTCCCCAGGCCTGCTCTTTGCTTCCATTTAGTCACCTGGTACCTTGTCTTGCAGGCTTCGCCGTGGCCCAGTGCATAAACCAGCACAGCTCCCCATCCCTGTCCTCGAGGTCACCACCCTCCGCCAGCGGGAGCCCCAGCGGCAGTGGGAGCACCAGCCACTGCGACTCGGGAGGCACCAGCTCGTCCTCTACCCCCTCCACAGCTCAGAGCCCCGCAGGTATTGGCCACGTGATTCTGTGATGGGGGGGCATTTGGGGAACCCCGTGATCCTTGCCATTACCAAAACCCCTGACCTCCAGGTCCTCCTGGTCACTGAAGGATGCTGCCGCTCAGGTGATGTACACCTGCAGCCTCTAGAGGTGTCTTAACGTGATGTTCCCTCCCGAGCTGGGTTAACTCCCAGATGGGGAAGAATTGCTCCTTTTTCAGGCCGGTCCCCACCGAGGCCACGACTGACTGCAGAGCTGATGGGCAGCAGGCGGGCCACACCTAAACCAACCCCATCGTCACCTCTACAGTCTTAGGTTTCCTGAGGTGATTGTTTGCAGTCTGGGAAAAGAATCGTGTTCCTGCTAATTTTTTTTGCCTCTATAACATCCGAGTTTTGTCCTTAAATGTCGTGCGGTCCAGTTGTCTGAGTAGGCATGCACTTTGCCACCCGTTGGAGACTTTGGTAGGATGTGATAAAGTCATATCTTGCCATCCTTCAACTTACTCCACTTCAGACATGGCACAGAGGGAATCCAGGAGTGAATGGGAGCCCCTGGAGTCAGCCTAGAATGGGACATGCCCCTGCTCCTCATTCTCCGCTGCCGTGAGCTCTTCCCTGCGCAAGTTGTGGGGAGTACAGATACCAGGCCTCTGGAACGACGTGGCCCCACATTGTAGCCAGAGGAGCAGGGAGGGGCGTCCATGGCCTTAAGCCAGCAAGATGCTTCATGGCCCGGCAGCATCCCCCTGCCATGGGTCTAGGGGATTATGCCAACTGCCTGCACTTCTGATTGGGGACCCTCAGTGTCCTTCACTGTTCCTGCAGGGTCCCCTCCAGAGCCCTCACTCATCGTATTTCAGGGGCACCTGGCCCGACTTTCATTAATTTATGGATGATGCATCATGACAGGACGTAGGCCACTGCAGAACCAGGGAGGTCGAGGGCCCTTGGTCCCCATCCTTTCAGTACCAGGAGCCAAGGTCTCCCCGGGCACCTACACCTCGCTCTCAGGCACTTCCACATTTTGCATTTCCAGTTCATATCTCTGGCTCAGAGCACCTCATCTCGCCTGTGTCCATCCCATACACACACAGTGTTGCTTCCATTTCCTCTTGACTTTACGAGGCCCAGGCAGGAAGGTCACCCCACAGCCACCTCACTGAGTCCCTCTTCCACTCGGCACCTGCTCCAGGACATGACCACCCCTTCTGAGCTGTTTCTAAGCCCAATTTAATGTTGGCTACACATTTAAGCAGATGCCACTGCTGTTGCCAGGCTCGTAGCTGGGAAATTCCAGCAAAGCCTCTTCCAGGAGCCAAGGTGCACCCTCAGTAGCCCTCTTGATCCCCGTCTCATGCTTGCTCAGGGATAGGCATGCAAGGTTGTGTGTTCATGTGCCTGTGTGCACATCCACCTCCTGCCTGTGCGTGCACGCTTCTCTGTCTGCATGGACACCCCAGCACATATATTCACCATTGCACTGGGGATGACAGCTCCCTTTCCCGTGTAGCTATAGTCACCTTTCTGTCATTTTTAAGGACGCACAGCCAACAGCTAAGTGAACAAAGAGGCATACACCTCTTTGCCTAAAGTTAAAACCAGCAAAGACCCACACTATCAAAAATGGGCCTCTGTATATGGATGCCCACGTGAACGTGACCCCTGAGGCGTCAGCTCTGCACTTTTCCAGAGGCTGGTGTCTGTGGCGTGTGCTAGTCTTTTCTCTGGGCCTCCCTCAGCCCCTTTGTCCCTACCCCCACCATCCCCTGCATAGTGCCAGTGCTGTGTCTTCTTATCTCAGAAATCCAGTGGCTGTTAGCCTGGTTGTCAGGTGGCCAGGCAGTTCCATTTGCTAAGTGAGAGTCAGGACCTCCGAGGTGTCTGCTCCCATTTGGTGTGTCCGCAGCAGGCCTGCGGAGACAAGTGTGTAGATCCCCATTCTTTATGTAGCTTGACAGTAAAAGCCTGAGGCCCAGCCTGCCTGTCCAGCTCTGCAGACACTGAGATAACTCACCTCTTGTTGAAGGGCCTGGCCCAGCGGGCAGCCTGGGCTTTACTCTTACCAATGCCTCGGGATGCAGCTATTGATCCCTGGCAGGAGAGTGCATCAGAGCCCACAAGCTCCTCCCTGCCTTGAGGCCAGACTTCCAGGCCAGTGTGCAGTCTCCCTCCCAGTCCACCCAAAACAAAGCATATGGGCTTCCCATGTTCCCTGTAGGGGTGGATCTAACCAGATGGCTACAACATCTGCCTGCTATTCCACTAAGCCACGCAGGAGAGAAAGCCAAGAACAGGAGAAGGGAGACAGTTCTGTTGGGATGGGAGCCTTTCTGCCAGTTGCCTGATTCGACATCTACTCAGAGTATGGCCCAGCATTCAAGCCTTTGATGAGGGAAGGTCGCCCTGTGCGGCTCGCTCACCCAACTTTCCACCAGCTGGGGGTCTGGCCCTCATTCACAAGAGATGACATCCTTGGAGGGCCAGCCCGGCAGCAGGGTGAGCTAGGGCCTCTCCTCCAAGCCCATTCATCCTAATTGCCCACTGCCTTCAGCCTGGACAGCAGAAGCCAGCTGCAGCACCCCCAAGGGGCAGCTTGTCCGCAGAGTGGTTTTTGAGGGCACAGTGCTAAGTCAGAAGCATTCCTGTCCCTGTGATTCTGAAGACTCCCAGAGTCCAGGAAGCTCCGTCTTGTAGAGAGCAACTGCCAGACCCTCGGAAGTCAGAACTAGCAAACCCCAGTGGCTTTGTTGCCGTTGATTTGTTTTTTGGTTTTTTTGTTTGTTTGTTTTTGAGACGGAGTCTTGCTCTGTTGCCCAGGCTTCCAAGTAGCTGGGATTACATGTGTGCACCACCATGCCCAGCTAATTTTTGTATTTTTAGTAGAGATGGGGTTTCACCATGTTGGCCAGGCTGGTCTCGAACTCCTGACCCCAAGTGATCTGCCCGTCTCAGCCTCCCAGAGTGCTGGGATTACAGGCATGACCATCATGCCTGGCCCGCCTTTGCCGTTGAAAGCACACTTTGCATGTCCAGGTGCTTGGCTGGGAAATTGCACGAGACATGCCATCTCCCAGGTGATGAGACAAACCCAGTTTTCCATGGCTCTGGCATGTGGTTTTGAACACTTGAATTGTTCAAGGGTGTTAAAAGCTGGGAGTGCTCTCTGCGCTATTTTGACAGTTGTTGTGGCCCAGGCACGTGGGCTCCTGCTGTAGCCACCACAGGGCCCTCTCTGTGCACCTGCTGTGTGGCATCCCAGTAGACACTCCTCCTGAAGTTGCGCCCACCTGTGCCATACACCATGCTTGTAAGCACTTCATAGATGTCCCCTTGTCAAATCCTGCCACACTCCACCTCACACTCTACAGTAGAAAACACAGGGGCCCAGAAAGGCAGTGCAACTTGGCCCAGAGGATGCAGCTAGCCAGCAGAGGAGCCAAGATCTGAAGCCTAGCCTTGGCAACCCTAAAGCCCACGTTCCACCTTCTGAAACAGCTAGCAGAATATCCAATGCAGTTCCCAAGACTGTCTCAGGCACCTCCAAGGTGTCCCGGAGACCCGGGCCCCCGTCTGGATCCTGGTTGGAGGCAGCCCACAAAGTGCATTCCTCCTTCTAACGTTCATGGCTGCTCTAGGGCCCACATGAAAAGTCACGGCCCTACTCATGAAGGCCTGGTAACATGTGCGGCCCCAGCCAACAGAAGGCTGGGTGGTGTGCACCCCTGTGGGAGGAAGGCCCGGTGCTTTCCTCATATCAGCAGCAAAATGGACCCCAGTGGGCCCACGTGGGTTCATCCCACATGAGGCAGTGAAACCGGCTAATGCTAAATTGGGTTTTCTGCCTCTACCCTGTGTCCAGCTCAGAGGACCTTAGGCTTCCTGCCTAGGTTTGAAAACGCCCCGTTTATCCCAAATACACGTGCTCAGCTTCCCACGGGGACTTCAGGCTGGCTCCCAGGGTTAGGCTTACACTGTCCTCTTGGTTTTGTGGACTTGAGACCTGATCTACGAGGGCTTTCTGCCCACCCAGCCCACACGTGGCCTTCCATTCTCTTAGTGGCTCATCTCCCTGGATCTTGTCTTTCCTGGGTTTGGGCACCCCAGTCCCTGTCCGCCTGAAGTATCTTTTTCTAAGCAAGCAGGATAAGGATGATTAGGATAAGTCCCTGTTATGCGCAGCATTCAGGATGCAGTGTGGCAAAAACTGTGATCTTGCAGGCAGGTGGGGTGGCTGAGGCCCATCAGGTAGCCACCCAGACGGATATATAGTTACAAACAGTGACAAAGGAAAGGTGCAACAGGCCCCGACGGCCGATGCAGAACAGCTGCAGGAGGCTCCCAGAGGTGGTATTGCTGGAGTTGACAGCTGGGGGGCAAGGGGTTGGCTAGGCCCTGGTCCTTTGGGTGTCACGTGAGTCCACCAGGGCCCAAAACCACAATCTCTTGGAGACCAGTGGATTCCTTTTGCCCATCTCCCTGGGGTCTGCCTGTACATTCTGTCTTCCCAAATGCAGACAGGCCATGGGCAGGGGGAGGGCACCTTTGAGGAAGTCCCCATCCAAGCTCGTCACGGCCACAGCCTATGGCCTAGCAGTAGCTTCAGGACCAGCACAGGCAAGGGCCTCTCATCCAGAAAGGGAAAGGGGACAGGGGACAGCCCTGAGGGGTTGCTGGCTCTCTGGTTCCTTCTGCATGTAACACCTGCTTCTGAGCCTCCTTCGCATACCAGAGGCAGAGCCATGGGTGCCCTGGAGTGGCTGTTTCAGTGCTGGCTCCAGATTGAAGGGAGGGTGGCAGGCACCTGTGATCTCAGCTACTCAGGAGGCTGAGGCATGAACCCACAAAGCCAAGGTTGCAGTGAGCCGAGATCGCACCGCTGCACTCCAGCCTCGGCAACAGAGTGAGACTCTGTCTCAAAGCAAACAAAACCACATTGGGTTATGAGCTATGGCCTCCTGATTGTCCCCTGGGGTTTCATAGAAAGAAAGATGGTCTGGCTGCTGTCG